AAGCATTTAGGATGGAATCTAAACTGTTATACAAAGGAAAGACATTACAGGCTTACTTTTATTATTTTCATTAATATGATTATTATTTAAAAGAACATTTTTCACAAGTAAAAGCTGCTGCTCATGTAGTAGATTATCCTTTATTAACATACATATTTTTCAATGAGGGAGTTTTTGGTTTAAATTACTGGAGCTTTATCTTTGTTTTAGAAAGCAAACGAATAACCTAAAAATAAATACTACCTATAATCTCTCAAAAGGAAAGCAAAAGAATTTCCTTACAAATTACTCTGTATGTGTGAGATGATATAAATAGTTCTTTAAAATCTCAGAAACCACCAGGATATCCTGAATGCTTGAAATATTCGATTTGCAAGTTGGATAAGGTTATGTAAATTATTTTATAAACAGAATTGCTAAAAAAAAAAAAAACTACTTGAGGAAGGTAATGTGCATAGTTTATCCAAGCTAGTATACATGATATATTTAGCTCTAATGAAATGTGACCTAAATACATTAAAGTGAGAGGGTAATTTTGGAATTATTTGTTTATCAGACTAGTTACTCCCACTTTACAGCTGTTCTTCTTTGAGAACCTTGGAGCCTACCCTTCCATTAAATGCAACTTACAGAAAAGATGGAGCTTGACCAAGCCATGATTTCGACTTGGGAATTGCCAAATGGATATTGGTTCCAGTTTTTTTTTTTTTTCCGGTGTTGTGGTGAATATACTCCAAGCACATTTTGAAATGAGTAAGGCATTCAGAAGGAAAAGTACAAGATAATAATTTAATTCTGTGAAAACAGAGTAATCTGTGCTTTGGTTCCTAATTTCATAAATTTATAGCCTCATTTGAATGAATGATCACATCAAAAGGTATGTAAAGTGTTCACAAATTTATTGTATGAAATACATACTCATATTTTTAAACAATTAATATATATGTAGATATATATATTAATGTAGTGAGATGCTTTTCTTGTTGAAAGAATTCTGATATTTTATAGAAATGTTTTATTTAAATGCTATTCATATTAAAATTCTCTTGTCCATTTTTATTAGTTCAGATATATATATATTTCTCTATCCATTTATTTACATATATATCCACATGTCTGTATATATGTATATAATATACACATATGTTATATATACACTTATATACATATATCATCTTGTAGAAAGCTTAAAGATTCATGAAGGCCCCTAGGATATATAAAGTAGTAGCTACCTGAAGCAGTAGAACCCTAAAAATGGAAGCCCTACAAAATATTTGTTCAAAAACATGAATAGGGCCAGGTGCAGTGGCTCACGCCTGTCATCCTAGCACTCTGGGAGCCGAGGTGGTAGGGATTGCTGAGGTCAGGAGTTCCAAACCAGCCTGAGCAAGAGCGAGACCCCGCTCTACTAAAATAGAAAGAAATTAATTGGCCAACTAAAATATATAGAAATTAGCCGGCATGGTGCGCATGCCTGTAGTCCCAGCTACTCGGGAGGCTGAGGCAGGAGAGTTACATGAGCCAGGAGTTGGAGGTTGCTGTGAGCTAGGCTGACGCCAAGGCACTCTAGCCCAGGCAACAGAGTGAGACTCTGGCTCAAAACAAAAACAAAAATAAAAACAAAAAACCAACTTAGGGTTGTGGAGAGCATTGGGAGAGGGGAGGGAATACCTCTAACCCTTCCTAGGGAAAGGCAAAGATATACAATGTACCCAAAGGTCAAAAAAGAAAAAACAAACAAACTTTTAATGGGTGGTGGCAGATGGGAGGAGGAAGGAGGGGAAGAATTTATACTTACAAAATAGGTGCGATATGCACCACCTGGGCGTAGGACATGCTTGACAGTTTTGGTAAGGCAAGGGGTGGAGGGAGGAATGGCAGGGGCAATATATGTGACCCTAACAATATTTATACCCCCAGAATATGATAAAATAAAATTAAATTAATAAAAAAAATAAAAACCACGAACAGTTTTTGTAAGAAATTTTAAAATTGTACAATATGGTGAGATACTTGGAAAGAAAAAAAAAATCAGGCAAAACCAAGATCCCTCGATTCTTCAGCTTCTTTTATTTTTGGTCTCCATGTGGAAATTCTTGGACGTTGAGGATGGGGAATATACCAGCATGGACTACCCTTCCCCCCACAAAAAAAATCTGATTGATGGGATAGTAATGTAAACAAGTTCCCAACAGAAGGCTCTGCACTGCCCAAGCCTGGGTGGGGATGGGTTTACTGGCAACCAATTAGTTGCTGCTTCTTCCCTGGACTGGCTGGCTTAGGACACGCTTCAGAAAGAGTGGATAGGAAGAACTTAGTCAGGACTCAAAAGGTTGGCTGTCAACTCCCAGGCAGTTAACCTGCACTCTACCCCAGAGAACAGAGAAGACAATCAGGCTGGGTTTGTCAGATGTTTTGGGAAGCTGGACGGATTTCCTCCAGATTTCCAGAGAAACCAGATTTCAAAATTTTCCTCCAGATTTCCAAAGAAACTTGGCTGCCCTCGTAACACAATGAGGTATCAGCATACATAGAGCTGTAAAGTAGAGGTCTGCTGCCTGCAATCAGCTTTTCTGATTTCCATTCCCCTTAATGCACTTTGAAGCTCAAGCCAACAGCTATCTACTCTCAATAAAATTACAAAAAAAAAAAATTTGTGGGGAAGAACTAAAATTCTGGATTTTATTATAATGGAACTTTTAAAAAGCTAGCCTTTACGGTGGATCTTTCTCTAACAAATGCACATCCAAATGTGGACTCTTGTATGAATAACATACACATTAAAAAAAAAAAAAGCAAATGGTGAAAATCATCCAAAATAGCTGGAACTTTGTGAGGTTCCTTATAAGTGGGTCATATGCCAATGAAATTACAAATTTAATAAGGGTGCTAAAAGGGAAACACTGATTTTTTTTTCCAGACCATACCATTCTAATTGCTAAAAATTTCGAAATCAAGCCATTGAAACCAAACTCTACAATTTGGTATCAGAATCCTGGGAAAACATCATAGTGGTTTAAGTAAGAGAATAATACATGAATGTATTTACAAAAATCGTGACACCAATAAGAGAGAGCAATTAAAGGCTGTAAAAAAACCGCTGGCTGCTCAACTTCCATGATCAAAAATATAAACAATTTAGTAGTGATATAAATGGTGAAGTGGTAGATATCTTAATGAAGATCGGCTCATAGAAACGGAAAATAGGAAAATACAGTAGGAAGTGGAGTGCTCATGCCAACTACAAGACGTTTAGACTCCCGGGTTACAAGGTTTTAAATGGCATGCTTTTTATCTTTGTGAATTTTAATTAGACTCTGCAATGGGCAAAGCCAGGAAAAGAATATTAATGACAGAGGAGAGAGCTGGGTGGCGTTCTATTTTTTTTCCCAGGGCCAGCTAAAGTAAGACAGCAAGTGTTTGTTTAGGTTGTAGCATAGTATAAATGCTCATCCAGAAAGGGGTGATTAGTAGGTGAGAAAGGACAGCTTGAAATATTTACAATGTTAAGGTTTTCACTCTCCTCACGCTTGTCATCTCCAAAGCAAAGCTAAAATTTACTACAGATTAGCAGTGCCTGTCAGGAAAACTGCACCACCTAGGAAAAAAAAAATCTGATTTTTTTTTTGGGTGCATAACTAACAAAATCGAAGTGTTCGGCACATAATTGACTCTGAGTGTAAAAGGACAGACCCATATCAGCATACTCATCTCTCTCCTTTTTGTTTTTTCCTTCCCTTTTTTAAAAACACGTTTATAACAACTTCTGGAAGAGACAAACGACGTCTCTCTGCTTGGCGTCAGTAGAATGTGCATGGCATCCTTTCTTACGTGCAGCACAAAAAAAGGAAAAAATGTCTCTCTCTCTCTCTTTTTTTTTTTTTTTTGCTGCTGCTGTTGTTGTTCAAGTTGCACGCTTGGATCTTGATCGCCTGACATAAAATAGAGGAGAAAGGAGACAGACCAAACCCACAAGGCTGCAAGTGTAAGGTGGGAATAGAATTGCAAGTCCCTTTGCCAGCAAAAAGCCCTCAAGGGGAGGGAGGGGGAAACCTCAACCCCAACTCCCTTCCCGCCCCCGCCCCGCCCCCGCCGTCAGTTGCAGAGATGGTAGCAGCACAGCAGGTGCCGTTTTGCTCCGGGGTAATGCAAACTTTTTGGGGCTGTGGATTTGAGTGTGACCGCCTGGTAGGGAAAGCGCTGGGGTGGGGGGAAGAAGGGCTGGTAGTAAGCGAGAGGCACCTTCCCAAGGTGCGTCTAGCCTGCAAGGGGGACTTCACCGCGCGGCCCAGGGGAGTCCCCGGCCCCCAGAGCGCGGCGGGGAGACGCGCCCGGGCTGCAGGGCTGCGGAGGCGCGAGGGGTGCATCAGGCCGGCTCGGGAGATCCAGGAAACTTCCTGCTGCCCGACTCCACGCAGCATGCTCCGCGCTCGGCGCTGCGTGGATGCGCCGATGACTAAGTAGGGGCGTGCTGGGTCCCCTCGCCCTGCGGCGGGAGCGGCCCCGCGTCGCCGCGCAGCCTGTGCGCGCTGGGCACGGTGGGGCACCGGCGGCGGGGCGCGGCCCGGAGTGGGCGGTTGGGTAGGGGGGTGGTCTCGGGCCTCGCTCGGCCTGGGCGCCCCCGGACCCCGCGCCGGCTGCCCCACCCCACCCCCAACACAGGGACGCAGGGGCCTCGCGGGGACCGCCCCGAGCGCGCGTGGGCGCGGGGAGCGCACCGGGGCGCCCGACCCCGCCCGGGGCCGCGCCGCGGTGGGTCCCCGGGATAAGAGCGGGGGTGTTGGTGTTGGGGTGTAAGGGGGGGTCCCCGCGTTCCCGGGAACCTCGCTCGCCCTCCTCCCGGGCCAGGCTCCTCCTCCTCCCGGCGCGGGGCTCGTGCCCGCCGCCGCCTGCGCGCACCGCGCCTCCGCACGCGTCTTCCCCCCGCCGGGCGCCTGCCACCGCTTCCCCTCCTCCTCTTCCTCCTCCTCCTCCTCCTCTCCCTCCTCCTCCTCCTCCTCCTCCTCCTCCGCCCGTCCCCGCCACTACGCACGCCTTCGCCTCCTGGCACACCTCGCGCCGCCGCCGCCGGATCGCGCTCCCCCGGCTCCCGCGGCTGCCGCTGAGGCTGCTGCTGCTGCAGTCTCCGTCTCCCCTCTCCTCCTCTCGCCTCCTCTTCTTCCCTCAAGTTTTCTGTCTCCTCAAGACCCGGGCTCGGGGAGGAAAGCGCCGGAGCCCGCTCGCCGTTCCAGGTAGGGTCCCCTCCCCGCGCGCGGTGGTCCCTTCGCGCCCGCCTCTGCCTCGCGTGCATGCCGCTGTCTCCCCCGCCCGGCTCGCCGCTGCGCCCTGGAACCCGGAGGCTCAGTGCTCCCACCTCCTCCTCCTCCTCTCCTCCTCGCCCCCCAATCCCCCAACCCCGCAAGCCCATCTAAAAAAAATAATTTGGAGACTGATCACCAAAAAAAAAAAAAAAAAAAGCACGTTGCAACTACAATGAAATCCAAGCCGCCTGCCCGGCAGCACGCTCGCCTGGCTCTTTTATAGTCTCCAACTTTGCACACCGTGCCCGCCCGCCCGCCCGGCCGAGCTCGACCCGCAGCCTGGAGCTCTTCTCCGGCCGTGGTCGCGGTCGGTCGCAGCAGGCTCCGGAGCGGCTGTCAAACGCGTCGTTTGCAAGCCCTGGGTCTGATCCCGGCCGCCTCCAAGACCAGGTCCTGGGCGACCGTGGGTGGTCCAGGAAGGAGATTTTATTTTATTTTACTTTATGTTTTATCATTTTATTTGTTGGTGGGGTGGGGGAGTGGAGACGTGAGGATCGCACAGTTCGCTCGCTGTCACGCAAAGAATCGTAATTGAAAAAGTGGGCTGGCTGTCGCTGGCTTTCCTCCCACCCTGCGGTGGCTGCTGCGGGGGTGGTCTTGGTCGAGGGGGTTGTGGCGTCAAGCACCTGTCTCTCCTCCCCTCTTCCTGTCTCCCCCATCCAAGCCCTTCTCTCCTCCAGCCCATGTGTCAGTTTGGAATAATCCGGGGGGGTGCCATATATTATATGCGTGCACCAAACAGTGTTTGCTGGCCATGAGGCTAGGAGAAGTTCCTGGCATAGCAAAGTCTGGTTACTTGGTCATCTTGATGTCAAAAAAAAAAAAAAAAAAAAAAAGAGAAAAAGAGAAAGAAAGAAATTTCCCCTCCTCCCATCATCACGCCCTACACTCAGTCTTGGAGTCATCTCTGTAGCTTTTAAATCCAATCCCCAAATTGAAAGGACATTCTTTTGGGCTCTTTGGCTAAGTGGGACTGGAAGCAATTTTAAGTGTGTTTTGGTTTTCTCCTATGCCTTTGGAAAGAGTGGCGATGAAGATGAAATCGGACACCCACAACATGCAGTTGCTGCTTCTTGTTTTCTTGGTGTGGGACCCAGCCAGGTGAGACATTCTCCTTTATTGTATCTGACTCTTCTTCATTCAGAGTGAAGGTGTGTTTCGTGAACGCCTTCCGTGCAGGGGTGGCTTTTGAGAATCTAGAGTTTTTTTGAAGAATTGTTATTTTCTGGAAAAAGGTTCGTCCCAGGAAAGTGAACTGTGAAGTAGCAGAGACTATTAAAAAAAAAAAAAAGAAGTTCGCTGCCTCTTGTTTTTAGTGATAAAATTAAAAAGTGAACAGAAACATTTTCTATACAAGAAAAAAATTCGTTAAAGAAAAGAATGCCTTTTGAATGGCATATCCTAACAAGGAATTGAAGTGGTTAACTTATATGCACTTATGATAACACCAGCAATCAGTAGAAGGAACCCAAGTTTTCCTTCAAGTCAAATAGAAAAGTACCAGCTAAATGATTTAAGTGTTAACTTAATTTTTCTTTCTTTTCTTCTTGATGATCTGGGCTTTTTTTTAGTCAACACAGAAAACCCCAAATGATGTGTGAGTCTTAAACCTCTAGGTGGAGGTAGTATACAACTTCAAAATCACAAACAATAAAACAAAAGCCTGATTTACTCATCAACTTTTTGTATTATTAATTTAGAGCTCTTTTACTCCTCAAATGGTAACTGTAATAAAGTATACTTATGTCAAAAGTATAACTAATTTTCCTTTGCCTATCCTCTACAAACATGAGATTAATTTTTATTGCTTTTGGTAACTTTATCTTTTCTGGTTTTCATCCTCAGTGGGCATCTTTTATTTAATGGCTTTAGGATATGATTTTCAAAATACTAGAGGACTTAAAATACATGTTTTATAAGAATGTTCCTATAACCATTCCTTTTTAAAAAAAAACAGTAAGTCTTTATTATGCCTTTATTTTTCTTTTAATTTTTAATTCTCCTATCCAAGTAATAGTCAAAGTATGAACATATTTTTTAGAATTGAGAAAAAAAATCTATTTATAAAGGCTTATTTTTAATCAGAAAATATCTACTCACTTAATGAATACATATTGACTTTATAAGGAAAAGATGAAATGTGATTAAGAAACACCTTTGAGTGAAAATTTCTATGTAGAACTTTATGAATATCTTAGGGATTGGTTTTAAAATTAGCTTAAGTAGGCAGTATAGAAACTTGAGGCTACAGTGTATGAACTAGTATACTTATTTAATTTGTAAATATTTATCTTTTACCACTGTTTTAATATTATCTTTACTGTTAAAGTACTATTTGTTTGAAGTTGGTTCCCAGTTTTTGATGTATTATGATTATTCTTAGCTACTAGCTCCATAGTCATTTAAGTGCAAATGGACACTGTTAATTATATTTTGTACAATGCACCTTGATCAGAATGTAATTACATATAATCTTTGATTTCAAAGGGGTGAACAATCCATGGGCAGTTAATAACCATTGGAAATTCTCAGTACTTAACCGTATTTCTCTCTACTAGTTTTCTGTTCTATATTTGACCAGTAATGCTTTTGCCAGTATTTTATTCTATTATATAAATGATTCTTTTTTGGGGCCAGTAATTTAAATCTCTGAATCATTCTGAGGAGGAAAAAAAAAAATGGCAGTGAAAAGGGACATTCTGTTTTATACATTCAGTTGCTTCTGCACCAAATTGCTGGATGGTCACAAAATCAGGCATCTGGCTTTATGATGGAGAAGTAAGGGAGAGAGAAAAGCCATCATCTCTAAACCTTTTCTGTTAATCATTTTAAGACCGTTTGTTCTTTCTACAAATTTATCACCAAAAGAAAGCAGCTGGGCATTGTAATCTTTGTTTCACCCCTTCTCTTGCTCCTCTCTGAGAACCCAGCCAGGAGGAGCTAGCTGGCCAAGGCTCTCTGCAGCTGTGAGCTGGTCTCTGAGGCCACCTCCACCTCCTGGGGACAGTGGAGCCTAGTACCCATCCAGCGGAGTTTCCCTGATGTCTATATTGCACTTGGCCGTTGGGTGGAGGTATACCCCAAGTAAGGAAGTGATCCTGGTTTAAAAGAGAAAAAAGAAACACATTTAGGAGGGAGCTAGAAAAAAAAAAAATGTTGTCCCTCCAAGGAGGCAATTTATTTTCCAATTAATAATATTCAAAAACGCTGAAGAGTTATTTCAGGAGTCCGTTTGATTGTTGCACTTTTCTAACTGGAGAATAAATAGCATTACTAATAGTGTCTGCATGTGATAATCTGCAATCATAATCTATTCTGAGGAATGAATTTTAGAAAAAAAAAATGAATGGTCCGCATAGAATGCTAAGTGGTAGAACTCTCAAATGATTTAAACATCAAACTGCTGATAATCTGCAATTTAGTTATCTGTTTTCAACAACGTGTTTATGTCCTCTGTAGACATAGTGATATTTATAAAAGTGAAAAAAAAAAGGGAGGAAAATGGGTGACACTAATATCTTATGGAGTCTTAAAATTCAAATTAAGGAAGGAGAGCATGTTGGCATTTGCAAAACACGCATATGTATATATATGTTATATTGTATATATATATATATATCAAGCTTTGTTAAAAATTATCTGTTTAGGTTGGTGCTGGCTAACATCCAAGAAGATGAGGCTAAAAATAACATCACCATCTTTACGAGAATTCTAGACAGACTTCTGGATGGTTACGATAATCGGCTTAGACCAGGACTGGGAGGTAAAAAATAGTTTTCCTTTTTTTAAACTCTCACAAAATAATGCCTTTAAAAGTTAAGAGTGATATTCCTATTTTAACATATTTTATATATGAATGCATCAATATGTGTTTAAAATCATGGATAATGGAGAGCAAGGTATATGAAATAAGCATTACCTGTGATTCCTTTTATATACACATGATGTATTTAAGATATATCTTTCATAGAATGCCTAAAGTTATATGGAGCCCAGACTTCCTGCATGTATAGTTTTTAAATTACTTTATTTCTAATGGCTAAGTTTTTCAAACTTAGAATGTGTTAAAGTCTAACATTGCTGAGCAGATATGCTTGTTTAGTGTGTTTGCTTTCTTTCATCATACTTTCACACCGGTCTATATATGCAGAAATAAGGGACATAAAAATATAAAAGGATGTCTGGGTTGAAATTTAACAGACATACTTTTTAGAATTCTATGATGATATTTCTTTACACATGCATATAATATTTCTAAAATAAAGCACAGGTTTGACTGTCTTGAAACTTTCAAAGATGTTTTAGGCATACATTAGGTATAGGCCGATATTAGATTGTGCTATAGTTTGATTTCAAATTTAAACGTTAATTTTCAACTCAGAGAAATAAATCTATTTCTTATCCAGAAAGGTAAAGGAAACTGGCTGGGCTAGCAGGTTCCATTTTAATTATCACATGTATGTTTCATAATTGTTAAGATGTTTATTTTTACAATTAATGCCATATTAAGACAGATTACTTGAACACTTAATACTAATGAAAGATATGTATACGCATAGTTACCCTGGTTATTGCAATACTAAGTTTCTTGAAAAGATTTGTATTGACTAAATGCCTGAATATTTATGCAAATAATTCCTTTGAAAAATATAGGTGGTCGTCACTTTTATATACATCTTTGACAATTGTATGGTTTGGATTGTCCAGGAGTAAGAAAAAGTCACAAGAGATCCAACTTGTTAAATAACATGCCATTTGTTTGCTATTAGTTTGACTTGAATCCCTGAGGGTTTCCTTGCATTTTTAAGAGAAAACTCCCAGAGAGAATCATGTTTATAAATATGATACGTTGTATTCCTAAGAGAGAATTCAGTTAATTATACTCTTAGTAATATACAAAAAGCAAAAGGAAAAAGAAAAGGATATCTCCTTACTAATTAATTATGTCTAATGAGCATGACTATAAGGAATTATTGTCCATGTGAATGTATATGTTGATAAGCTATCACCAAACTAGTGTATGAAAAGTAAAATGAGCATAAGGCTGCCATAATTCATGATAGTGGTTTAAGAGGTAGATTGTACTAAGGCAGATCTTTTCTCTAAGCCATAGATTTTATTATTTTAAATAAATCATGTGCTGTCAAAAACAATCTTAAAACATTCAAGCTAGACTGTGCACTTTGTCCCTTTGAGTTTTTAGGGGGGGGATATTTACCCTCTGGGTGTGTGATTGGGTAGTAGAAACTATTTGTTTTAGGATATAAGTCCTAAAAGTATTGCCATTGACCTCTTTACATTTCTTTTTAGTATCTCTTACATTTTTCTTTACATCGCCCACACCAAAATAGAGATTCTCTTTCCCTTGTTATGTGGGCTAATGCAATACGCTAAGTGGCTTTTCTTGCCTTATTGTCTTCCCAATCCTCTGATACTGAGCAAGCGCTAATAATATCTCACGGTCAGATTAGTGGTCCTTTCCTCTTAGACTCCTTTCCACGTACCTACCACTCTCTTCTCTTGCTCTAATACTTTTGGTGGCTCTGCACTGCCTTTGGTAGATGGTGCTTTGGGATAGCAGAAGGAACAGAGTCCTTGGAGGCAGGCAGGTGTAAACCAAAGCTCTGCTCCAGCCCCTGCACACACACAAAGCTTGTGCCTTGGCAAGATAATTGGACGTGGCTACAATGTATCTACCTTTCTGCCTCGCTCTGTTGTTGCAAGGATCACACAAAGAAAGGGTGCGTGCACAAAGCATGTGCTACATACTAGCAGTTCAAGGAGTATCAATTCCTTCCCTTCTCCCTTTGATTCCTAAGACTCTGATTCTCTGGCTCCATTCATTGACTCCTTCCCCTCACCTGCCATTCAGCCTGCACTTCTAATCCATCTATTCATTTGCTCTTGTGAATTCATTTCTATCTGCTCCCTTGGACTTCGGCTATGTGTATGATACCCTCTGCCTGGAATGGTTTTTCCTCGTCCTCTCTCCTGATCTAAAACCTACATTTCCTGTAAGAATCATCTTAACACTTAGCCCTCTTTGGCAACTAGCTTCCTTAACTGAATTGATTCAGCTTTCTCTGTTGAGTTTTTTTTTTTTTTTTTTTTTATTCCTGGAAGTTGCTGGCCCCATATCTCATTTGGTACGTATTATGTGCTATCTTGTATTACCGGTGACATTTTTTTGTGTGTGTCTCTTGTTACCTTAGTAAGATTGTAAGCTCACTGAGGCAAGATATTATATCATGAATTAGCCTCTGTCGTTTCAGCAGCTATCGATTTGCATATTGTGGCCATGGATGAATGTTGATGCTTGGTTGACTTTTCCGCGAGCAGTTAATCATCTGGAAAATGGGACTACTCCCACTGGGCTGGGCTTTTAGTTAGGATTGTTGAGGTGATGCATGAAGTGTTCTGCTGCAGGAGGACAAGGTGGCTCAGTGAAGGGGACCTAGCTTTGGACTGCAAAGAGTCAGGTAAAATCCCAGCTCTGATACTTGGCAATTGTGTGTGGCCTTCACTCCTCAGCCTCTCGGTGTCCATACTTGGAGTCTACGGAATGAGATTTCTAACACCATTCTTACTTAGAGCTTTTGCTGAGTATTAAATATAATGATACATGCAGTGAATTTAAGCACAGTGACTAGTGTTTAATAGACAGTTAATAAGTGACAATAACTAAAGACTTTGAATAACTTTCTAAATGTACTGTTGCAAATTTACATTATTATGATGATTATTTCTGCATTCGGATGGCTCAGCCTGAATGTGCATATATCATTTTAAGCAGGAAGTTCAGGGAAATTACCTGTATCATCATGTAACTAATAATAAGGGAACTTATAATAAGGGAACTAATAATAAGGGAAAATGAGTTTGATTCAATTTTAATCTATCAAACTGAACATCTCTATTGATGGATCATCTGGTTACTTAATCTCAATTATTATTCTTTCTCTTGATAACTTTTATATGAATGAGTATTTAGGAAAGAGGAACCAGTTTTGAGCTGTGAGTTGGAAAGATTGTTTTTTTTTTTTTTCTCACTTGGCTCTACTACTTACTAGATCTTACTCTAGATAAGTTACCTAGACATTCTGAGCCTTGATATTTTCTTTGGGAAAATGGGAGTAATAGTATTTCATTCTGAGAGGAGGAGAGTCTGTTATGAGTCATGTGTATGGCAAAGATTATGTAATACATTGAGTGATAAAATTTTAAGGTATTTAATGGATTCATAATAGATCCCTTTAAAAATTTAAGTCAGATTACGCCCCTCCACTGCTCAAATCCCAGCGTCGGTACCGAGGTCATTTATAATGAAAGCTGGATTTCTTGTGATGGCCGTACATGATCTGTCTCTCCATCCTTTCTCTGGTCTCACCTCACATGACTCTCCTTCTTGCTAGCACTGGCTTCTTTCCTGTTCTTTCCTGTTCTTTGAGCACACCAGGAAGCTCCGCAGGGCCTTTTTTCCTGGCTGTTCCCTCTTTCCTAGGATTTCCATTGATCTCACCTTCTCAATGAGACCCACCTTGACCAACCTAATAGATACTCCAGCCTGTCTATGCCCCTAGCAATCCTGATGCCCCTTCCTCAACTTCATTTTTTTCCTTTGGTTTTCTTTAGCACTCATCTTTTCATACAGAAGATTAGTTAGTTAGTTATTACCATTATGTCAATTGCTTATTTTTTGTCTCTTTTGCTAGAATGTAGGCTCTGTGAGGTCAGGGATTTTTGCCTGTCTTGTTCCTTGGTTCACTGATATCTATGCCAAGCATCTGCAACAGGGCCTGCCTTGTCTTAAGCTCTCATCTAAATATCCCTTCAATGAATTTCAATTTTATTAATTAATTCCCTTTAAAAAATTTTTTTAGGTTGCTTTCCTGAAGAGCATCAACTCTAGAATTTACCCTATCTTTAAAATCAGTGAAACAATTAATTGCCTCACTGGCCTCTCACTGTTGACATCAGCGTATTTTGGGTTGAGTGCTCGGTGAATTGAGTCAATTACACCAATTACTCAAACCCCTGACTTAACTGTTACCTGTGCTTCCTCCATGAGCTAACTCAGTGTGGTTTGAGGGTGATTCATTGGTCCCATCTGTGACTAATTTACTCATTTCTTAAATAAGAGCAGGGATTCTACTTATTTATATCCCACTGGGATATTTTGTGTTTAAAATCTCAAGAAAGCATACTATGATATATGTTTGATAGGTACTAGGACTGTTAGGAATAGCAGAGGAGAGTTCTTCAAGGAGAATGTTATCGTAGGAAGTGATATTCTCTGAAAACAAGTCAAGAAAATATTGCTGGGGCTTATGCATTTGGTATTCTTACTTCACTGTGGGCATGGAAACTTGAAATGATACTGCCTCAAAGTCTGAGGACCATGCGTTCAGTTTATCCAGAACTGATAACCGAATCAAGTTTTCCTCTTGTCTTCCTTTTTAGTCATTGGCGCTAGCAACTTAGGATACCACCCGTGGATTTTTACATTTAATAGGAGGCATTCAAAATGTTAAATGAATAAAAGGAGCAACATTTTGTTATTTGGGCAAATTTTATAAGGTCATTGGAAAAACGGATGTGTGGACAGGACGCGTGTATTTATGACAGCTAGCATCCACAGTGTTCAACAGTGACAACTATTAGAAATGACAAGTCTTGGAATCTAAATTATAATTCAGTCTGGAAAATTTAGGTTGAGTGCCATGCTTAACTGGATTTTGAAAAGCTGTTTCAAGGAGATTTTTT